AACAGCAAACTGAGATCGTGGCTTTTTGTTCCCTTCTTGCTGGACGCTGTATTTTACTTCGGTGGAAACCTCCCACGCCTCCATCTGCATCGCAATGTCTTAATACTGTCCGGACATTCTTGAGGGTGGAGAAGATCTCACTCACAGTGACGTGGACACTCTCTGTGGAATATCTCAGATCTTTCCTGAGAACAACGCGATTTACCACCTGCGACCAGATCGAAAAGAATTTGAAATTTACTCTTTTTTAAGGCACAGGATTTAAGCCCCGCCCCTTTCTATTCTTTTATTTGTATTTATTTATCGTTTAATTTTATTTATTTTATTTAATTTTACTTTATTTAATTTTATTTATTTATTTAATATTTTTTCTAATTTACTAACTTTTTTTTTCTTCATTTTTTCTCAATTTTCTGTTCTTGATGTTTAAAATTTTAAAATTATTTTAATTTGTCTTTGTTTAACGAGAAAAAGTTAAAATGATTGAGAAATAAATATTTGAGAAATATGTCATGTAAGATACATACAGTACAATGTACAATAACAGACCACAAGCAGCACAGAGGAACATCTGGCCTCCTCAGATGTGTCTGCTTTAGACTTTAAATACTTCCTGCGTAGTTTCTGTGAAAACAGTGAAGCGTGTAGATGGATTTGTCAGGATTCAGGACAGGAACTGAAGCTGTTTCCTGTAAACTGATGAACTGATGTGTGTTCAGATGGAGGCAGAGATTCAGCAGATCCTGGTCCAGGTGTCGGAGCTGCAGCGCCGAAGGAAAGTTCACTTCCTGCTTCAAAAAAGCCGATCTGCTCCCCAAATCTGAAGGCCTTCACACACCTCCAAAGAAACACCACACAATCCTGAATTTTCTGGATCCGAACTGGCCGTGCAACTCGTGCACACTGAAAGTACGGCGTTTTCTCTGTCCTCTAAGCGTCAGCAGCAGCAGTGAGGATTTCTTGGTCTGGTCCAGGAGCTGAAGCTCCGCATATCAGCATGTGGCACAGCTGGAGCTGAATCAAACACAATGATTTTACTGTGTCAGTATCAGTGTAGAGCTGTGAGAGACACATCGACAATCAGAAACATGCAGCCTGTTTGTTGCTGTGAACGGCTGCATTAACAGATGAGCCCCAAAAACACTTGCAGGGATTTTCTGTGTGAGGTGTGTGAAGGCTTTCAGAGAGACAAATGCACAGATATTTTCAGACTGAAGGATTTATTCTGTTGTGTTCTCCCTGCAGGCTGCAGTCACAGTCTGTGGTCGTAAGTATCAACATTCATTGACACTCAGTTTTATTCATATGGCACCAAATCACAACAGCAGCTACATCTATTGCAGCATAACTAAGGGAGGATTCAGGGTCACCTGGTCCAGCCCTAACTATATGCTTTAGCAAAAAGGAAAGTTTGAAGCCTAATCTTAAAAGTAGAGATAGTGTCTGTCTCCGGAATCCAAACTGGAAGCTGGTTCCACAGAAGAGGGGCCTGAAAACTGAAGGCTCT